TATCTATAAAAAAAAAAGATTTAATATTTTTTAGATTTAAAAATAGTATTTTGACATTATTCTTATATACATTTTTTTTCGAGTTGTCTTACTTTCTTTTAGATAAAAGAAGTTGAAAGACAAAAAGTGTTTGATCAAACAGTTACGTATGATATTGTCATTTTGTTCACATATGAATATTTGATACTCTATAGATTTTTTTTCATTCATTCTCATCCAATCAAAAAACATTATCATCCAAGACCTATTTGTATTTGTAATTTTGAAAATATGTAAGATTTAAACATAGATCATTATCGATCCAGTGTGGTATTTAACACATTTGATTTAAAATATTTTATATTTACGGGGGAGAAAATCGTATATATTGTCACATGCATACTTTTTGCTATACGTTTTAATATTATATATATATATATATATATATATTTAATGATTGGAAGATATACCACGAATCCGTTGTAGTCTAGTTGGTCAGGATACTCGGCTCTCACCCGAGAGACCCGGGTTCAAGTCCCGGCAACGGAATTTCTTTTTCCAATTTTTACAAAATATTTAAATGTAACTTTTTTTTATTAGTTTGAAATTAATTATTTATGATTATACGAATAATTTTGTTTTAGTTAAATATTATTAGAAGAGTACTCGTATAATATTTTTTGTCTTTTTCGATGTCATAATACGATTTTATGTATTTTTAAGAAAGCAATAATGATTGTATTTTGAAATAAAATATAAATTTCAAAATATCATAAAATTTTGAAGAAAAAAAAATATCAATGTTAATATCGAAACAATCATTTAAAAGTTATCATTTTTCATGTAATTTGTTTATTTTTATTATAATTTAATTTAAATTGAATAATAAAATAATTTATTTTTGGTTTAATAATATAATATTTTATAAAGATAATAATTAAGTATTCTTTTAAAACTCAATAATTATCTTAATTATATTTTAGATTTTTTATATTTAAAATAAGATGTCTATCATATATTTGATTATGTTTATCTGCAGTTAGTTACACGAATTTAGATTTGGAGCTTTAATAAGTTGTACTTACGCACAACTTACTTGTAATCTTGAGTTTTAAGTAACATACGTTAATAAACAGTACTTTATGCATAAAAAGTGGTTTTTTAAGAGTTTTTGTCAAATGTTTTATAATATAGTACAGATAGGTTCAATAATGAAGTAATTTATATTTGGTTTAATAATATAATTTTTTATAAAGATAATAATTAATTATTTTGTTAAAACTCGATAATTATCCTAATTATATTTTAGATTTTTTATATTTTAAAATAAGATTTTTATCTTCTATTTGATTATGTTTTTCCACAGTTAGTTACACGAATTCAAACATGGAGCTTTATCACGTACAATTTACTTGTAATATTGAATTTTAAGTAATATGCATTAATAAACAGTACTTCATGCATAGAAAATGGTTTTTAAGAGTTTTTGTCAAATGCTTTATATATAACTAGAAGCGTACTCGCGCAATGCAGCGAGATATATCATGATTTTAATATTTCATTTTCTTCTTTATCTCAGTCGATATTATAATATGGCTTTATGTGATTTTGAGAAAGCGATAATGTT